TCCTAACAAACACCATTGTAGATGTCATGTCCACTTTCATTTCATGACGGCAATGGGCTATTCTAAATTTTAATACCCATTATTTTATCGAATTAGCAAAATCGTATCTTGGTGTTTGTTTAGATAAGATAAAAAAAGAATATAAATATTATTTCTGAGTGCATGACCTTAAATTTTAACATCTTACTATCTTTTTAGTTAAATAATTAGTAGGGTAGTTAAATGATTAGTAGGGACAAACATTTAAGATGGATGCATTCTCAAGGTGAGTTAAGTAATTTTCTCATTAAAAAAATCTTATGTTCAAAAAAGTGACTTCCGAATGCCATAAGGTCATTTTCTACACATATGTAGCGAATTATTATTATTTTTTTGTTTCAAAAAAGGGTCATAAAAGTCGATTTTTTTTTCATTTTCCAACTTTTTTGTTATATTTAAAAATTTACATATTAAGAAATTAATTTAAAGTTTTTATTTAAAAGACTATTAAAGATTAGTGAAGAAAAACCCTCGTTTAGAATAGTCAACTAATATTTTTAAATACGGGATATTAATCTAATAGTATGCATCACCAAATGTAAATTTCCTATAAAATATAACATGACGAAATGGAACAAGACAACCAGAATGGGCTTGGTATATTACAAATGAACAAGTCCCATCTAAGCTGACTAAACCAGAAAAATGCTTAGGAAAAGAAAAGCATGTGGACAACATAAAAGGGGGAAACAAAAGGAAAAATGCCAACGCAAGAGCCAAGAAGGATAACAAACTTAAATATCCGTCATTTTAATGTAGATACTGTGGAATTGCAAGTTGAATAAAAAGGACAGAATAGGCCCCCTTTTTTTTTTTTTTTTTTTTTCAATGATCAATGTCCAATGATGAAAGTGACACAGTGTCGTTTTAACAAAGCAATGTGGAGAAAACTACAAAAAAAAAAACGTGTAGGAGCAATTGACCAAGAATGGAAGGCCGCAGAAAACGACATGAAAGACCCCCCTTTTCCCCTCTCTTTTTGCCAAAAGCTTGCTCAACAACGACGGCAAAGAGACAACAAATACTACGTCGTTTCCAGGGCAAAGGTGGTTGAGGCAAACGACAACAGTTATCGTGTCGTGTTGCCACAAATAAAAGTTGATAGAGACCAAACATCAGATATTACGAGTGCGTTTCAAACTGTTTTTTTGGATATTTTTGAAAATGCTTTCGCCCGTCTTTTCTGGCGCGAAAATGAAAACGGCATGTAAATTGCGTCTGTTTAATAAATGTTTTGAAAATAAAAAATAATAATAATGATTTTTGTGAAGAAACTAGCAAATGATTTAAAGTTGTTTTCCTTTTTTGTTTTCATTTTCTAGTAATGATCACAATGTTATATTAAATAATTAATTATTAATTACTAATTATATATTATATTAAATTAATAATTAATAAATAGATATGACTAATAACTAAGCTCTTAGAATGGCTTGTGCTTCAAGAAAACCTACATGGCTGGAAAAGGGGGCATAAACAAAGAACCACTATGAGTCTTTCTTTGAAGTATCCACCATTTTCTCTGTCTGTTAAGCCTCACAACTATGGGACTTTTTAAATAAAACTGCAATCGTAGTTTATCAATCACTCACAAGACCACCGTAGGCACGATTACTGGTACAACAGAGGTGTGTCCTTCCCGCTCCTCTCGTACTAGGGAAAGGTTCTCTTAATGATCTAATGCCCACATTGGATATGGACGGAACTGTCTCACGACGTTCTGAATCCAGCTCACGTATGGCTTTAATACGCAAACAACCTAACCCTTGGAACATACTACCGCCCCAAGTGGCGAAGAGTCAACATAGAGGTGCCAAACCTTCTCGTCAATGTGAACTCTCGGGGAAGATCAACCTGTTATCCCTAGAGTAACTTTTATCCGTTGAGCGACGGTTCTTCCACCCTGCACCATTGGATCACTAAGGTTGACTTTCGTCTCTTCTCGAGAGGTGGGTCTTGTAGTCAAGCTCCCTTCTGCCTTTGCCCTCGAAGGACAATCTCTGTTTGGCCTGAGGAAACCTTTGCACGCCTCCAAAAGGTGAGCACTTCAAATTCGACCCAAGGAGGTGGGCCTAAGTAAGGTATGATTACTCTACTCAGATTTACTTTGCCTCTCTGAAGCAATGAGAGGGTATAATTCTGACAAATCACTAAGCCTACTTCCCGTTATGCATCATTTCACTCCATTAATATTAAATTATAATTTTTAATTATGTAATATACTAATTAACAATAATTAATAATTGATAATTAGTAATTAATAATTAGTAATTAATAATTAGTATGTTACCAACATAGTAATTATTTATAATCGACTATTAATTATATAGTAAAAAATTTGACTATTAATTACTATTTTTTAATTATTTAGCATATTAGTTTATTATATAGTTTAATAACTAATGGCTAATATCTATTATTATTATATTTATTAATATATTGATTTTATTTACTATAATTACTTAATATATTAATTTAAGATTATGAATTAATTTCATAAATATATCCAAATGCAATTTCACATTTTTATTATACTCAAAACAATATTTTAAAAGACCAATCAAACACAACTTCAGAATCGGTCTCAAAATAATTTTTAAAATTAAAAACAAAACCATTTTGAAAACATTATCAAACGGGCTCTACATAATCATCTAAAAAGAGGAAGGAACGACATGAGTAAACTTGTCATACGGATGCAACAAAAAAAAAGTCAGATTAGGGAAACCAACATCAGATATTTGCGTTGTGACGGTGCCACTGAAAAATAAATAAATAAATAAATTGTTAAATAATAGCAACACAACACCTCTTAGTTCTTTCAGATAAAAAAAAATAAAAAATAAAAAATAAAAAATAAAAATAAAAGTAAAGAAGTAGCCAACACAACCTTAAAATAAAAATAAAAAAAGAAGTAACCAACAACACAGAAAAAGATGTCAACATTGGACTGTGGAGGGGGGGTTTATGTCAATATAATGTTGAAGATTTGATACCATTGGTCTGCCGGTCTCAAATCTCACCATTTAACAATATCATAGATTCACATGTTGTATAGTCAAATAACGAACCAATTGGTCTGCCGGTTATTGTCATTCTTTTGGTCCATCAATTTCTTGTAGTTTAATTCTTGTAGATGTTTTGTCTGGTGTATTGCTTTCCACTTTAGCCAAAATAGTAATAACATCACTGGTTTTTTAATTGTACAAAATCTATGTGACATGAATGTATATATATCATTTTTATGAAGCATCAATTCTAGTTGTGATTTTGGACCATATATTTCAATTTTTAATAAAATCTTAGTCTAGAATATATATAAATTCGGAGTCTTTTCCCTTACGTCTCATGTTCTATTTGATGATACATATACCCTTAAAAAAGTCAAGGTCCGTTTAATTCACTGATTTGAGTTGACATGTGACTTTATATGAGAGCTTTTTACCGTAGTAAAAAAGTTAAATGTGACTATTTTTTAGAGTTTTTTACTGTAATAAAATTTGAATTCTCAACTCAAATCGGTGAAAAGGTCCGTTTAATTCACTGATTTGAGTTGACATGTAACTTTATATGAGAACTTTTTACCGTAGTAAAAAAGTTAAATGTGACTATTTTTTAGAGTTTTTTACTGTAATAAAATTTGAATTCTCAACTCAAATCGGTGAAATAAATGAGGCATCAATATATTCCATGTAGTTGAAAGATAATCAGCTTCTTAGATAACCCACTTTTTTAAAGTCTAGACTTTAGAATTGATAGCAATATTATGCAAACTAGAGACTATGATGAGCCTATACAGCTGGGGAGAAAAATTATGGCCTCATTTATTTTACTAAATTGAGTTTTTAATTTTAATTTTATTATAATTAAAAGTTCTTATAAAAAGATATTTAACTTTTTTATTACAGTAAAAAATTTTTACATAAAATTATATCTCAGGTGGCAATAAATTTGAAAATGTTTACTCTATGAATTGTTGACACTGATTGATTGAATGCTACCCACAAAAATAAGCTAACAAATATGAATGGCTTAGAATGAGTCTTACGCATGCTTACCCACTGATATTAGCTTGTTACAGTTAAGAAGCAACTGCTTAGTGTGCGCGCGCGCGCGCGCGTGTATATATATATATATATATATATATATATATATTGGAAATAAAATTGTAAGCATTTAAAGCCGAGGGCACAGAGAAAATCTAATGCAACATAATACATAATTCTCCTGCATAAAACGTCAAGACTTCTTTACCAGTATGTCTCTTTTTTTTTTTTTTTATTGAATGGTATGTGTCTTGTATTTTACTATATTTGCCTAACTTTCCATATCCATCATCATTTCTCTTTTTGGCAGGTGCTATCTCCTTCTTTAGTTCAATAAAAATTATGGATTTCTTTTTAATTTCTTTTTGGGGGTGAATTAAAAAGTATCAAATTGTTCAAGGCGTTGGATTTCATTTTAAGCCACTTCTTTCCCATCATTGAATAATGTATCATTCTTTTCTATTTTCAACGCTCAGCGTCAGCGTGAATAGATCTTATTGGATGGTTAGTTCTTGGAAGGAAATGGGCCTCTTTTATCGTCAAACAAAAACGATGAAGGTTTTGAACACCTTTCAAAAGTTAATTAAAATCATTAAAAAACCAAAAAAGAAAGAGAAAAAAAAAAAGAAAAAGTTCAGTATTGTGAAACTGTGAATAGACCCACTACCACTAAAACCGAAGCAGCAACAAATAATAAGACTTGGGTTTCACCGGCATCAATAGGTGGTATAAGTAAGATAAGCAATGTGGGGCCCTCACCTATATGACCAATTATAATGGCACTATGATATGACATAACCTATCAATAATTGAGTTTTATATTTGTTTTATATTTTAAAAAAATCATGGTTAGTGTTTACCTCAAAACAATTAAACATTTAAACTAACAAAAATGACATATGACAAGGCCGTTTTTCTAATACTATACCAAGTTAGGCCAAAGCCCCATTAAAAAGCAACCACAATCTAGCATCTTCTTCTTCTCCTCCTCCTCCTCCTCCTCCATCTGCTCCTTGTGGCATGAGATCAATGGCCTTAACATGTGATTTTTCGCCGACGAAGATCATATCCGCTGAAAAATCTAGCTTAATTATAAAACCTATCAGCAAAGTTTTGAGGCTCAAACACAGATACAATAATATCCCAGTACTCAAGAAAACAGTAACCCCGCTCAAGATCACATCCTCCTTCAAAGAAAAGGTCAAGAGTTCTTTTCATTTTTCTTTCACTATTAATTCTACTTCCCATTTACTCTTTACACAAAAATCTCAACTTGAACTGGGGGGAAAAAAAAAAAAAGAAAAAACGATCATGTTTCACTGATCACATAAATCTGATATGTTTTTATGCAGGTTTTCGAGGATCGATCCAATGGAATAATCTGCTACGCAGACGAAAGCGGAGAAATAGTCTGCGAAGGATACGATGAGGGTCCTCGTTATCACCAACAGATTCAGAGAAAATCTTCTCATTCAAGGTTAGTTCAACACTTGACATGATCTCAGTTGTGTATATGATCAAATATGACAGTTTGTCCAGTTTCCTCTAGTTTTGAATATTGTTCAAAGATCGAGTAATTTGTCGTTTTTGGCCTTGATCTTAGAGACTCGGAGATGTTTGATATTCTTCAACAAAGATGGATCAATTTTGTTAGAGGCACTGAATTGAACCCTGCTGCTGATCAGAAAGGTGTTGCTGTGCAAGGGGACATCAACTGCAATGGATTTAACTCATTTCGCTAATTATTTGTGCGAGTCAATTATAGAAACGTTTCGACTTTCAAAACAACTCTGCTGCTTCAATTATATTATTGTTATTATGTAACATGATGTGCTACCAAAAAAGGATCATCTCCGTTTACAGAATGTAAATAGCATGTATAAATGAACCGTTCTTGAACATCAACTGATGCTCTAATGAACTAAATGATCCCACTACTTCTTTTCTTACTCTTTTGGCAGTTATAGTTACCATAATTGGATTACATACATTTAGAGGAAAGCTAAAGTATGTACTCCTTAACTTACCTCTCTAGTTTTATCTTAAAATTCTGTCCCGCTTAAATTAATATTTAAAGAGAGAAAATAAAGGCAGAAATTCTATCGTAAAGGAAAAAAAAAAGGCATTAATCTAGATTTCCTTTCTTTTTAGTCATCTTGATTTGCAAGGAAAATCTGGTATAAGTTGATGCTGAAAATGAGGTTTTCCTTTTTGGTGTTCTGTGACCAGTTATGTTTCTGCATCTACCAAAATTAAGCAGACGCTGTTAGGAGGGAGAGAGAGGAATTTGTAAATGACCATTGAAATCTAATTTACAGATATACACGACAGTGATAGACTACATATACATGTTGCAAAGCTAAATACATGAATATCCCTTTTCTTCTTTTGCTACAAGGATTTCATGGAGAGGTCATCCAATACTCGTACCTCTGACAAGAATTTCCTTGGCTTCAACAGCCTTCTTCTGCATCTTCCAACAAATAATAACGAGTTTCTTTTCTTGACAAAAATAAAAATGAAACTGCTATATCAAAGAATTGGTGTATGAAAAATACTAATAATAAAGGAAATAAATGAATGAGAAAAGAAAACCATCAGCCGGAAGATTAAGCCCGAAATAAATGCATGAATGTACAATCAAGGACTCGCGGCATCAGTCGACCGATGTCCCGCCTTGCAAGTTCTCTTCACCTAAATCAGACTGAGATTTACTATGGAACATAGGTGGAGGAGACCACTGATCTGGGACCATCAGAAAATAGGTTGTCATGGCTTTCCTAAACCTCTTCTTATATTGTACGGGTGAAATAACCGTCGGAGACGAGTTCCTTGACCCTCCAAGAATGCCAGAATTCTTCACCCATGATTCAAGGTGCTTATCCCATGTGTACTGCCTCATGAAATCAATTATCCCGACAACTAACTCGTGCTTCTCTTCATCCAAACCAACCAGCAGCGAGTAATCCATTACATCAATAGACTGCATAGCAAAAGCCAATTTGACATCAAGACTTGGTTCAGATTGTTGCATTTCTGAAAAGGTGAAATTTTAAAAATCTAGCTTTTCAAATAAAGTATAAAAGTGGATTTGTATCTATGCAAAGCACTTGTAAGCATCTATATCAAACACACTACTTGCATCTTGCCGTATGCAAAGGACTTTTGGGACCTCCAAAAGCAAATACTAAACCGGCCCTAGAAATGGCTAAAAAGAATGTGATCAACTTGAATGCTGGACAATCTACACTATAAGGGCATGTAGAGTAAACTACTGCAAGAAAAGAGTTTCAGAACTTACTGCAAGAAAAGCAGTGTCATTCCAGACGGCTCTCTCTAGAAAGCGTTTTGCTTTGGTCCCAAGAAATATGGGAGATGTAGGCATTGCTTCAATAAGATTTTGATCCAACAGAACTTTGTTTCTCCCACTAGAATCATTATTGTACCTTGACCGAGAAGATCCCTTTAGATCATACAGTCGTGTCACATTCCTTCCAAACAGAAGATTCTCCATGACCAGAACATCCATCTTTGATTCTTTCCCTCCTTTTTGATGCCTTGACGTAACCTGTCAATAAAGCCAACAAGATTAAGTTTATGTATGAAGTCTTTGAGAGTGCCAAATGCAAAGACCAATAAAAAGATTACCTGATAGATCCCAAGTATCCTTGCCAGGCACGTTGGACTCCCAGTGGTTGGACTCCCAGTGGTAATTGATTCCGACAGGTACTTGAAATACTCGGGAGCAAATTTGATAAAAGATTCAAGCTCTGTCTTTGTGACTTGTTTGATAATAAACCTGTCATCCAAGGTTTTTGCGAAAAAGACGTTGCTCTTGCCACCTTGGGCTCCCCACTTCTTACAACGACTAAGAGACCTTATAAAATCAAGTTCAGAAGGGCAGCAGATCCTCCTTAAGGCGTCAAACCGCTTCGCATAGTAACAAGTCACAGAGTATTTCACCTTACCAAGTGGACCATCTTCTCCAAAAGAAACTCTGGCATGTAAAGCCTTTGCATATGAGAATGGATCCAAACTACGAGATCCAGAAAATGATAAAAATCCTTCCTCACTAGATCCAAAACTTCTACGGGCTTCGGATGCCGTATCCTCAGAAGAATGGAATGAGCGAAAATTCGAGTCAGAAAATAACGAAGACATAGAATCCCCTCCGTCTTTTGGCATTTCCCCCTCATCACTTACTTGGAGATGATATTCTGGTGAAGCTAGAGCGTAAGAGATAATACTTGCGGGCTCGTCATCATACACTGGAATTACAGTGTCATTAACGCCAACAGGCAGAAGCAACCTGCCCCCACCTTGGAGTTCTGACTCTCGGAAGGCGGAAACGTATATCGGATTATACACACCTAATGGATCGAGTTTTTGAGTGCTAGAGAAAAAGTTCTTGTTCAGTGAACGGTAGAAATTTAGAAAGGGCATTCTTAACCAGCTGATAGAGTCTTCCAGGTTCTCAGGGCTCTTCGTAGATGAAGCATAAAAAGAATTAACCACCTTTGGCTCATCATGCTCATCTGCCTGGTCTAAGTTTAACTTGTCTGTAACACCAAAGGAGGCAGAAGAATCTGCTATGGTCGAATCAGAAAGTGTATTGGTATCTTCCTTCAGGGTCCCTGTAGCTGTGTGATTTTCACCTGTCCATGCAGCTTCAAAGGTCTCTGACAAATTTGTTGTGATAGGAAATTCTCCTTCTGAGAGAACCCTACGAACTTTAACCTTGGATTCCGAAAGTTCAGATTGATCACAACCATTTGTCGAAGGAGTCAGATGGGCTCCATCTTCTTTTTCACAATTTGGCTCTGGAAAAACCGTGCTGGACTGATCAGCATCGCTACCAAATTTCACAGGATAATCAGAGCTCTTATCAACTTTTGCATCCACGAGAAAGGAGTCACAACTATGATAGCCTTTTCCTGGCTTGATTGTCACATTCACGTCAGCAACATTTTCACTATTAGGAATAGATTTCCCCTCGTGTGCAGAAATTGAGCGGCTCAGATTATCTCGGAAGCTGTGATTGTCCAAGCTGGCTGCATAAATAAGGCGGTGGTCCCACATGTAAGATTGGAAAAGAAGCTGCCTTCGTAGCCGATTGATCTCAAGGATGTCAATAAGAGGTTGACCCTTCTTTGCTTCCTTGTTTAATGTTTTTAGGAGAGATTCCTGAAAGGATGTGCAGAAAAAATGTGAGAATACAGACAGTGAGATGGCAGCCAATGCATGTAACATTTACTAAAATTTTTGGATCTATGTTAACGTGGAAACTGGAAAGTACCCAATAAACATACAATGTTCTGCATTTTTTCTGATGTTCAAGACGGAGGTTATGAATACCATAGTGAATAACTATTAAATTATTCCAATATGTAATTTTTAAGATGTCCTAAATATAAAGTTTTGAATTTTTCATCAACAAAGTCACGATAAATTTTTATAAAATGGCCAAACGGAAACACGTATATCCAATGTGAATATTTATGAAAGGTCATAGCAAATTGTGGCAAAACTCATGTTAAAGGAAAGAAAACTTTAGATGAACCCAGATGGTTAGGAGAGCCAAAATGCTAACTTCGTGATAGACTGATAGTTCAACAATTCAAGTCATTCTAATTATCAGGAACATTGGTTTAATATGCTTATTGCAGCGTATAAAATGAAATTCGTCCAAATAAAGCTTCGAATTTGAAGAAGTAAAATTTGAAGCCAAACCTCAAATTCTTCCTTTTCCTTTTGTAGAATCCCTTCCAATTCAACAATTTGACGTCTTGATTCAGGTGTTCTCAAGCCACAATTAGATCTTTTCTCCTCAATTTGACTAAGAGCATTGAGGGCTTCCGAAAATAAAAGCTCCATCCGGTCAACAACCTATTAACCAGGTAATTAAATCATTTGTCATGAGTAAAACTTAAATTCCAATCCAAAACCTCAAAAGTTTTGATCATTGTACCTTATCTGTTTCTTTTTGTATCCACTCCTGATTCTCGTAATTGAAATCTAATTTGGGAGGTGGAAGATAGACAGAAAGAACGTTGATTGATGCATAGCGGAAGCAAGCAACCATTTTGCCAAATCTGCATTCATATCAAGAGTCCATGTCTCCATGAATAAAAAGATGAAAGGGACTTGATGGAATACAGGCAGACCTTATTTTTAGTGAGAACATATTGAAAAGATGAAGAGCATTACCCATAGAAACGTAGACAATCTCTATGTAAAGAATGGCCACAGCTTGCCACCCTGCTTGCAGCTGCATGATTCGAAAAACTGAGCTCCAAAAATTTCCCGAATGATAATCCCCAAGCAGCATCAGACATGACTATTCTCCGAGTTGCTGGAGGAAAACCATTAACCCTGGGACACCGAAGGCATCTATGCCACATCCAGATTTTTTCTTCTCTCTCACCTGGCAAGAGTATTTCTGGTAGCTTCTTGACAGATATCGTAAGGCTTCCTTGTCGATGAGTATAACAATGGACATGTGCTTCAGACGGCATTTCGCACGATGAGCACTGGTAATTCTGGAAGATAATTAAGTTTCTCAGTTTCAGAAACTATACCTTAAGGTTATTGTAAAAAGAAAAACATGCGTTCCTGACAGAGAACTCACCTGATCAAATAAATGGTCACGCAGAAACCGACCAAGAGGTTTATCAAAACTTCCATAGTACTTTATTCGAAACAAATGAGACCTCTCACAGACAGTTCCCTTCCAGACACACCGGGATGATAAGGATACCAAAATGCTCTGATTGTCAGAAGGTGATGGAGGAAACTCTTCCTTGACCTCTACTTGCAAAGATCTTGGTTCCTCTACATGGCTTCTCCCATCTTCATGTAACGTTAATGACTTGTCTGCACTTCCTACCTGATTCTGAGTTATTCCACCCTGGTCATTTGGGAACAACATGTGTTGGCTCATAGCATCTAACAAGCCGCTGTTGTTCACAGTGAGATGATTAGACATCAAAGTCAGGCCATTGTTCACTGGAGAAGGTTCAACCACCTGTGCTTCTATAGAACACGATTTATTTTTCTCCCCATATGTATAAAAAGAATAAATGTTCTTTTGGTGAGTATCTGAAACATCTTGTCCAGTCGGAGCTGAGTGAAAAGTAGCAGAATCGGTAAAACTTGAAAAGGTGTTAGTGGGTAGAGAGGTAGGACAATTATTACAAGATTGTGCACTGCTGATGTATGAGGAAATATCTGGGGTCGGCACGCTGTTGGATCTCTGTGGTTCATGAAGAGCCCCAGACTTTGTATCAACACCTGCATGTGCTCCACTGAAACCAAGTACCGTTGAGATGGAACTGTCAACCCTTTTAACTTTATCTGGAAGTGCAACAGTTATTGGAGAGTGCAATGGGAGTTCTGGCAGAGTAGCTCCTTCGTCAGCAAGAAAAGATGTCTCCACAGCTAAGTGATAAGCTGCAAAAACTCCATACTGGACGACATGTTTAAGTTTTTTCAACTCATCACCACTAGCACCTCTCAGCAAAATCTGACATACAGACAAGAGGTCAAAATTCAGTACAAACCAATCTAGCCTTGAAAAGCCTTAACTAACTAGTACCCTAATCAATCCAGCCTAAGATAAGCACTTTCCATGTTCGATTAGTATGCAGGACTTACCGTACAACCCAAAGGCTTTGGGCAGCCTTCAAAGTACATTAGCGTCTTCACCAATTTTTTCCCACCCTGCCCAGAAGTGCCTAAATCTTCCATAACCCTGTCTACATGAAATGACTCACAGAAGCCCAATTTCTGTGATGAGAGATGATCAACTGAAGAGGCTATCTGGGCTCCTGTGCAGCGGGCTATACGCTCTAAAAGCGGTCTCTTTATGTTTAGAACAAGTGAAATGTCCTTTGAAAGAAGGTGTTCCTGAGCATATCGAGAAACTGACTTCTCTACTAAAAGGACATCAGGCTGATGAGCTTCTATCTTTGACACCGCCATCTTTAAGTGGTCCATTTCCTGGATAAGGAGTCAATCATATCAGCATCTTTGTATGACTAATGAAGTCAACAAAAATCTACTAACACACGATAAACCGGTAAGTGACAAACTATCAAGAGAAAAACTCAGATGACCATAACCTGCTGCAACAGAGTGTCAAAACTTGAAAGGTGGTTAGTCACCCGCTGATACTCAAGAGCCCCACCAAGTATCAAGAGACGAGCTTTTTTCATATTTGAAGGCATTCGCCGGTGAGCCACATTTTTCTTGCAAACAACTCCTTTGACCACAGTACTGGAAAAAAAACGTCATAATATGAATAAGAAAAGAGTCCAGATAACAACAGAAGCAAACATAGACGCGTGCATGTACAAATTTAATACGTTTTAAACAAATTTATTTAGTGTGTGGCTACAATTATCAATATCCTTAAATGTTTTATTTTGCTGAAAAGGCCTTGTTTCTTCTATGAGTGGTTAGATCAATGTGTAAATAAATGAGAAACCTTATTTCCAGGAGCACCTTCATACCAGATTGAACCTAAGCACTAGACTGACTATTTAGGCACATGGTTTCTGGAACTCTCAGAAAGAGTTTACCAAAAGAAAAAAAAAAAAAAATTTGAGGAGTCAGTGACCAAGAATGGGAAGCAGAGCAACATGACATAAAGTACTGACACACTGATTGAAGAATTACAGGATTTACCTCTCACGGCGATGTCCAGAAGCTATGCATTTTACTTTGACATATCCACCTGGATCCATCCCTCCGCTTTTACTCGTATCTGGCTTTAATAGTGTGGCAGCCTCCCATGATAGAGATGTAATTATCTCCAACCAACTCTCATTGTCATCTTCTTCACCCACAGGAAGGTTCTCAACCTGCAATAGTTGAGCCACCAAAGCCCTGAAGTGTCCATCAACCACATTCTTCATGGCCTTTTTGTGCTCCTCCGTTGAGCGATCCCTATTGCGAGTCTCCCCACTTCCAAAACTGCTTGAGGTTTGTAAATATCCCCATTCTCCAGGGGCATCATCTTCGTCATCATCAAGGAGGACGGTTTCCTTTTCATCGTCTTCGTCTTCAGGTTCAGGGGGGAGCCAGAGGAGTCCATTGCTCTCGAAATCCACAGGTTCCGCATCAACCTTACGACCAGGGTATAATGAGGAAGATGTTTCACATTCATAGCCCATATCATGTTCATCTTCTTTTCTCCCAAGCTGTAGAATCCTTTCCAGGCGTTGTGATTCAAAGCTGTGGTATTGTATTGGGGAGCTGCTCAAACTTTTCGAATCAATGTTTTCGCTGTCAGGATCTAGTTTATGTAATCTCTCATCATTATTCATCCCTTCAAAATCAACTGGACTATAATAACTATTGGCCGAGTGAAAATGCATCGCCTCGGAATCCATACGATACATGTCATACTCATAATCCCCATCCTCACTCCTGATACAAAAGATAAAGGAACAAATCTCATTTACAAATGGGTGTATTGCATTGATCAAAAAGTAAAATGTACCTATTTTGCTATGTCATTTAGAATTAGAAGATGAAATTCTAAATGATTGAAAATAATCAAATGTTGTCCTTCTAGTTTTAACATATAACATTATATCAGCAGGTTTACAGGCTCTTCCCTAAAGTAGAACTTTCATGCTTAAAACATGTATGCGCTAAGTTGAATCCAAAAAAAATGCATGGGAGAAAATAATACCAACCTGTTCATCGAAATTCCATGTTGTCCGGAAGATATAACCCCTATATCTGTGACAAGGTCATTGCTCCTTCCTGGTGCCATGTTGCTTCTTTCATTTGTGTTTGCTTCCACTAAAGATGATGTGAGAGGGCTGAGATCGGAACTGCACTGAGATTCCTGATACGGCCCAAATGAATACGGCATTGAGGCAAAAGTAATACTACTACAGTTACCAGTTCCACTTGATATAGTACTGGCCAAACTAAATTCTGATGGTGAACTACTAAGGCCTAATTTGGATACTTGTGTCCCATTATCTACTACACCCTGCTCCCATTGCTTGTAACAATAATTACACACCCGGATCTTATCCCGCTCTTCCAGCAAGCTTGTCCCTGGATCATCACCAGATGGGGCAGGGATCGAGTTTGCTGTACACTCGCCACAGAAAACCCGGCCACAAAGTCGACAATGGTGTCTCCGGTTAAACAACGTGAACTGCGAATCGCACTCGTAGCATACCCTACAGCTCTGATCAGGCATCCAAAAGTCCCTTGACACATTAGCTGGCTCAGATCTCCAAGAGATCCAAGAGCTCACCACGCCAACCAGCTGACGAAATGTCTTGTAGGTGGTATCCATAGACAAACAATCTAACTGTTCCGGGCATTATGATATGCTCACTTGTCATTCCTAGGAAGCCATAACTCAACCAATAACTAAAAAGGGGCTCTTAAGACTCTAGGCAACGAATCAGTATGATTCTATTGTTTACTAACTTGAACCCATCAGCAGAAAGTTCTGAAAACAACAAGGGAATACTTATTTCCCCATTTTCAAGCCCCCAAAACAACTTCTTTACTACAATTAAATCAATATCTTTCTGAGGTTTCCTACAAAAATAAGTTCTTGAACCACAAGTAGAACTCACAACACTGAATTCAGAGAAGACCCCCAGGCCTGAAATCAAAATGAAGGAAGAGAAAAACACAAGAGTTCAGAAGAGACAAAAACTCAAAAACCAAAGAAGAACAAAAGAAAGTGAGATCAAAGCGTTCTTCTTTGGACGACCCAACTCAAAATAATATGTCTTGAATCACTTCCCACGCGTAAACACTCAAACCTTGTAAATTCCAAAACTCAAAAAAAAAAAAAAAAAAAAGCAATTAAAACACGAACTGCAAATAAAAAAACCGTAATTGGTCTAGCCCCATCAAAAAACCACAATCAAAACTCTCTCTCTCCACTAAAAAACACAGAGGTCTTTATAATATATGATCAAAATAGTACCAGTCAAAAGGCAAGGTAATCACAATCAGATCTTCAACCCAGTGAGTGACAAAAATGGGCACTGTCTAGAATCCTGCCACGTGCCCACCACAAACCGTGATTGCAAACCGAAAGTTCTCACGAAGAAAGAGAGAGAGAGAGAGAGAGAGAAATAGGTATATAGGTGGACAAAAATTCGTGAAACCCAGAAAGCGGTTCGTCGTCGATTCAAACACCAATTAACACTTCTTCATATTATCATGTTCTGTCGAATCTGATTATCGTCGTCGAGTTTTTTTTTCTTCTTTTCTTTCGCGGTTCCCAAGGGAACGTGCGGCGACATTTATATAGGGAATCCCTGGACAAAAATGAAACAGCCACGAAACTCAACACATGATAAAATCTGTTGTTATTACTGTTGTGTTTTTTTCGTCTACACATCGAAAACTGGAAAGATGATTGAATTATTTATTCATTGATTTATTATTATTTTATTATTGGATTTTTGTTTATTTCCATTTTTATCTTCTCCGTCTTTTGTTGTTGGCCTTTTCCTGTGGCAGAGATAGAGACTCTCCTTCCTACGTGGATGCATGATATAATTTTTCTTTATTTTATAATTTTGCAATTTTTTAAGTAAGCTAAGGAAAAAAAAAGAGTTATTTTAGTCCTTGAATTATCCAGTATTATACTATTTTGATTTTTAATTTTTATTCCCTAAACTTTTTTTTTTTTTTTTACAAATAATATTTGTGTTAACAATTTTGGTCTGGATTAAAGAACTGAAAATTACAAAAAAAATAAAAATAAAAATTTGGGCAGTAATTTAATGGTAGTATCAAAATTGTTAAAAAGTTTAAAGTAAGAAGTAATTTTAAAGAAATAAAAGTTCAAAAATAAAATGACAAAATACGCATAATTAAAATCTAGCAGTACAAATAACCCCCAAAAAAAAAAAAAAAAAAAAAAAAAAAAAAAAAAAAAAACAAAAAATCGATATCCCTAAAGTGCCCCCGGTGAGTGATGGACAGAGATCTTGTGTGCCGTGTGAGTAGGCCGGAAGGTTTGACTATCGACATTTTTGACAAGCTGTAAATGAACTACTTCCGCGAGCACTTTTTGGTAATTCTAACGTCATCATCTATACAATCAATACTTTGCTGTACAAAAAGCGTGTTGACTTGGGACCATTATTTTATGGAAACTCTTTAGTCAATACTTCTCTGCTCTTTTCATGGGCAAGGAAACAGCAAACGCAATATTCTAGCTTTTGCTTGTTAATAAATCATTTTATTTAGAAAGATCTTGTTTAATTCAATTATTCCTTACCAAATTTATGTCTTCTTTTTTTTTTTTTCTTTTTCTCCGCTAAATGTGCTAAGCATATGTCTAACAAATAAGTAAAGTAGTGGTTATCATCTTTAAAAAAATCAAATCAAATCAAATAACAGGAACAAAATTCAACCACAAATTTATAAAATCAGAGTGCTTTTCAGATTGCCATTATTTTTATTGGCCCGTGGAATTATCAATTTTTGGTTTTAAAAAAAAAGAGCATTTACATTTATATTCTCATTGGTCGGATTTTTCTCTTTTTTTTTTTTTTTTACATGTATTACTAAGAAATTTCCTTAAAACATGCTTTTTTTTTTCTTCTTTAGCAAGTTGCTAGTTTGCTTGTTCAATAAGTAGTTCATCTAGCCTTTGACTAATATTTGTTTGTTTGGTTGTTTCCTCGCACAATTTGCAGCCGCGGCTTCACAGCTCGCAATATGCAAGAGGGGAGTGGATTACAATTTATTAGTATTTTGAGGATTGATTTTGATGGACCGATGAGTGGATAACAATTTATTAGTATTTTGAGGATTGATTTTGATGGACCGACGGCGACACAATCCCTAAAGTTTAATTATGGACGTTTGGTTGGAGAATTCAAATCATGTGATTCGAATCATTTTTAATTTACGTGTATTTTTTATAAGAGAAAATACTGTAACGAACCACGAATCATGATTCGAATCAGGGAACGAATCCCTCTACCAAACATCCTCCTGAGTAATTCTATGAACACTAACTTAAATCTCAATTTTTGTGTACTAAATGATATGTTATGTGAGTTGTCATTTTTTATTGTTAGATACAATTTATTATCATCAACTGAAATGATGATATTTTAAATACCTATTAATATAAAAATCATATGTCACATCAATTAATATTGTCACTAGCATTATACTTTTTTTTCCGTTAGAAAATTTTATTTTGTTTAATGTGTATGTGTAGTAGGCAGTAGGGAAGAAAAACTATTTCGGTTGAACCATAAGATTTATTTATTTTTTTACCACATTATTCAAATAGAAAAGAAGATTTTTTTTGCCACGAAATACCACTTTGACTTAATAATTAATATGATTCCAAAGTTGTCTAATAATTCAAAACTTCTAATTATAAAGGCCTCGTTCGTTTCGCTGATTCGAGTTTTGCTACAGTAAAAAGCTCTCACAAACAGTCACATCTAACATTTTTTCTACAGTAAAAAGCTCTTACATAAAATTACATCTCAACTCGAATCAACGAAACGAACGAGGCAATATAACATCACGGTAATTTTTTACCTGATTCAATTATAAAATATAGAGTTTAAATCCCCACCCTTAAATTTAAAAATAAAACATAAAAACATCTACCCCTTTCTTTATTCCTATACTACCTAAGATTTTTTCCTTTCTTTATTGGGGGGATTTTGGCAAGCTTGCTGTTGAAGATCCACAACTGCATAAGAACCAACAACTATCCACTTTTATGTGACGTTTGGTAAGGAAATTCGTATCCTGATTCGAATCATGGTTCATGATTCGCTATAGTATTTTCTCTCACAAAAAATACACGTAAATCGAAAATAATTATAATCTCATGATTCTAATTCATGAACCAAAACTTCATTTGGTCATTTACACTTGGACTATAATTCTAAAGTTTACCGGTCGATGATAAATTATAACTGGTGATTTTAGTAGTTTTCAACGTTTTGTAGCAAAAATATGCCTTAAAACAAATGTTTGAATACAATATTTTTGTCGCATAAGGTAAAACTATATTAGTTTTTCTGTATTCAATTTATGTTTCAATTACTTTGCTTTATTTTCTCTCCGTTGTTGCTAAATCTGATGGAAACAATATATAGTTTAAACTGTCATTAATCTTCAAAAATTTTCACCAAACTACTAGTGCGATTAAAGGAACTTCAATATCCACGGTCGAAAATGGTTAAATGCGCAACCACATTAAATCACACCAATATTTTGTTGTACGGTACGGTAGGAATTGTGTTGTTTAACAAATTATATATAGCAGTCATCTCATCCCATATTTATTGCCCTAACTTTAAGAAACAAAATATGCAACGAAAGAAAAAAAAAAAAAAGGTTAAATAAAAGGACGCAAAAGGTTGCGTCGAATTATTATGTTGTTAATTACTCTAGACACCGTAAGTGTCATACATATCGTCCTAATAACTATCTTAAACTTAATAGCCCGTCTCTTTAAAACAACTATTATTGGATGAACTAATACAATTTAGGCCGTGTTTAGAATTGTTCTCGTTTTTATTTTTTATGTTTTTTAAAAAAGAAAAATGGAAACGTTTCTAAAACGGCGTTTGGCGCAATAAAGACAAAAAACGGAAATGAAAACGATTTTTTAGTTTAGTGTAAAATGAGAGAGAAATGAAAAACGACTTTTAGTCGTCTTTCATTTTTTATTTTCATTTTCTCCTCTCTCGAGCAGAGAGAGAATGAGAGACATTAATGAGTTTTTTTATACTGAAAATAATCTTTTAATAAAACTATCAAACACATTTTTAAAAATAATTTATGTTTGAGATTGAAAACGTTTTCATTTTTATTTTTATACAAAAAATAAAATTATTTTAGAACAATTTCTAAACGCGTTCTTAATAGCCCGTATTATAACCACACCAATCTTTAATGTTTAAGTACTCTCAAGTTTTTACTTCAAAAAAGTATTAAGTTTGAATCCACATCACTCATAGAAAAAAAAAAAAAAAAAAAAAAAAAAAAAAAAAAAAAAAAAAAACTAAGCTTTGTTTAAAAGATAAATAAAATAAAAATCATTTTAAAAAAATACTACTATCAATCAATGTGGCATTTTGCAACTGATGTCCGCGTAAAAGCATAGGATCTAATTATCAGCCTTGCTGGATAATCATGTAATCGAAATCTATGAGGTCGATATATCAACAAAAGAAAAAAAAATACAGATATTATTTCCCAAAACATATGATCAAGAAATCTATGACAAGACAACTGTGCTCTAGATATCGCTATGGATTAAAGAAAATATCTTAACTTGGGCATTTCATAATGGAGTAGAGTTGCAAACTTTTGATATATGGGAAAGGTGGCCAACCGTATGTTTCATGAAAATAAAGTCTAGACTCTAGACAAACATTAATAAAGTTGTAAATTGTAATAAATCAGATCATTTTTGGCATGTCATAATTATCTAGTTGAGTTGGTAGTTATTTATCCAAACACCAGTGGGGAAAAAGTACTAAAAGGAATGAAAAGTGAAACTCCTTGACACCGACGTAGACAAAACTTTCAATCAGTAATTTTAATAATACATGAGTCAAAAAGTATAAGGTTTATAATAATGATAACTTAGGCGCCGGAGAAGCTGTAATAACCTTTAATCCAGGATTTACATAGTTATGCTAAACTTGCAGTCACAACTCAGATATATATTGTTATGTGAGAAAATATGCGTTGACACGTCGGATGATGATCATGCTCCATGTGGCCCTATACTTATCACGTCAGGTAGCTGTTGACACCTAAAACTCATTTTTCCCTCCATCTGGTGAAAAGGTTGATCGTATGGGACGATTCATGAGACCGTCGACCCTACATACAGTCGAGGCCTGCATGATTTGTTCGCAACATGAGCAGTATCGTGATGGGGTTGACCAAGACAAAGGCCGCGCTTTGTGAAGTATAGTGTAAGTGCAGAGGGCAGAATGCATGAGTATGGGTCCATGTCCCAGAAAGACCTCTGAGGTGACAATGGGGAAATTCTTAGATGTATGTGTTTGGAGAAGGTCAGTAACACAAGAAATGATTACCTGTCCATAAACCGCCTAAAACGGACCAATGGAAATCACAGAGGAT